CCCACTAAGACCCAAACCCCCACAGCCCGCGCAAGAATCCCGCATTTGGCACCGCAATCCTGCATGTCTTCAGATGCAGGAGCGCGCTTCTAGAGCCTTGGGGCTGCTCTTTCGTAGGGGCGTTTAATTAGGGTGTCCTCAGTAGACCGCGGAGTACGAATTTCACGTATCTCGCAACTGCTTCCCATTTTTCTGAACTGGAGATCATTACCCCAACTATGTTGTTTGGAGTTATGTCTCCGTGTCTTTCTTCTAATATTCTGCGCGAAATCAAGAAGTGTTCGCAGGTGAAGAATGTATGGTACACGTTATCTTCGACGTTTCCACAGTAGTGGCAGAACGGTGAGTCCACCCTTCCCATTCTATGAAGATATTCTCGGAAGTAACCATGACCATAAACCATGTTTGAATGTCGGCTATCAGGGAGTGCGTCCATCGACCTTTTGTGCTCGCTTTCCAGTTTTGTAGCCACTGCTGGATCAGTTGCTCGCGCGCCCTTGCCGCGGCAGCTGCTCGACCTATCTCGGCACTGAGACTGTAAATCTCTTTTCGCTCGTAAGCAAGTAGCTCACCTCTGCGCTGGACCGAAAACATTTGAATCCGATATTTTTTGAATTTCAATGCGTCGGCCCATATTTCTGCCCCATACATGAGCACCGACTCGACTGCTGTCATCAGAAGCTTCCTGCGGCATGGCTTCGGGCCGCCCACGTTCGCCATCAGCCGGCTTAGAGCCACCGTGCTCTGCGCAGTTTTTTCACATACTCCATGGATGTGTTCCCAGAATGTGAGTTTGCTGTCAAGCTTCAACCCCTAGGTATTTTGTAGACCTAGAAGTTGTCACGAGTTGAGGTCCGACCACCATATTTATAATTGTTGGGATCCGTTTCCTGGTGAGGAGCACGATCTCTGTTTTGGCTGTTGCCAATTGCAGACCGTGATCGCTCATCCAGCCACTGGCGTTGCGCATGACCTGGTTTAGCTTGAGCTGTGTGTGGACGTTTCTGGCTTGGACGTTCTTCTTGTTTCAAGGAAGGCGCTCTCCGGCATTTCCGTGCGCAACAGACTGTCATACGTGGCGTTCCAGAGGTTCAGGCCCAGTACAGATCCCTGTGCCGCTCCGCCGGTTATACGTCTCTTTCTCTGACCTTGTGTTGTGTCGTGCAAAAGCCAACGGTCTCGGAGATAGTCCCGGATCATACCTAGCAAGTATGTTGGAACCTTGAATGACCGTTCCAAGGTCTCCAGCATGTCGTCCCATCTTGCCGAGTTGAAGGCGTTCTTGACGTCCAGTATGACTAGCAGCACTATTGGCCGCGCCTGGTGGCAGGCTTGTTCGGCCTTATGTACCGCCTCGACTACTTCGCCAATTGCTCCTATAGTTGAGTGTCCCTCCCTGAAGCCATGTTTTCGGGGTGAAAGGCCTCCCTCGCTTTCTATGGCTGACGTCAAGCGTATTTTGAGCAGACTCTCCATCATTTTGCCTGCTGTGTCCAGCATGCAGAGCGGCCGGAAGGATGAAGGAGAGTTTGGGTCCCCTTTGTCCTTGGGTACAGTCTCGCCTTCTTCCATTGGCTTGGGAAGACCCGGGCCCTAAGGCAGCTGTTGTATATGTTAAGCAGGAGATCAGGGCTCGTTTTCGCTGCTAACCTGATTGCCTCCGCTGGTATGCCATCTGCGCCTGGAGCCTTGCCGGTTTTCATGCTTCGCAGGGCTAGCTTCAGCTCGTCTGTCGAAAACAGTGGTGCCTCGGCTTGCTCCTTGACGAACACTGTATCGGCTCTTAGTGGGTGTGTGGGAAATAGCGCATCCACTATATTCTTAACTCGGGGCTCATCCATCGCTTGTGATGATGTATGGAACTTTTTCATCACTGTTTTGTATCCCTGGCCCCAGGGATCGCGATCCACTTCGTCACATAGCGCTTTCCAGCAGTTCCGTTTACTCTTCTGTATCTCGGCCCAAGTGTTTTCTTAGCGCTTTTGTAGGCTGCTGCTCTGGTCAGCGCCTCAGGTCTACCACGAGCGCGCGTTGCGAGTCTCCGCATTCTATGGCAGGCCCTTCGCAGCTCTGCAATTCCGTCATTCCACCAGTATAGCTGCTTTTTACCTGACCATGCCCTCCCCTGTGGCATTGAGGCTTTACATTCCCGGTGAATGCAGCGCATGGTTTCTTCGACCAGCTTAGTACAAATCTCCATGTTGTGGATCTCTCCCATTGTGGGTGAAATACCTTGGGAATCTGCTAGGAGTGATGTATCGCACTTGCGAACATCGACACCAGACAGGTTCCATCCTGGTTTCCTGCGAGGGATACTACGTGTTTGCCCTCGCGTTGTGTCAGTGACTTGGAAGGTGATGTAGTTGTGGTCGCTACCACTCAGGTCTTCCATCACTCTCCATCCGTCAGCCCTTCGAAGAACGCTTTCTGAGACCAGGCTTATGTCAGGGATAGAGTATCCAAAACCCGGCCTTCGATATGTAGGGCTCGATCCGGTGTTGAGGATGGTCAGGCCAATGCGGGCTGCCATTTCCAGGACCAGTCTTCCCCTGGTGTTTGTTTGGGGCGTACCCCGTTCCACACCTCTTGCGTTGAAATCTCCAGCAACAATTATGTGGCCGGTTATATCGCGCAATTCGTCTTCAAGGTCTTCGAGCTTTTCCATGAAGACAAGGACTGTGTCGTTTGGAGACAGGTAGCAGCTCACCAGAGTGATTTGCGCAATTTTCACCCAGACGTAGCAGCGTCCGACCCCGCTGCTCTCTGCGCGATGGTTGGGTTTACCAATCTATATCGCGGCCGAGCCTGATTGCTCAACATGCCAGGTTTCCTTTGTTCTATAGGGTTCACTGATGATGACAGCGTCTGCTCTTTGTTCAAGAACCAATTGGTCCAGCAGGTCGTCAGCTACCCTACTCCTGTTCATATTGCCTCGTATAAATTTAATCATATTTTCCCAAGCTTTGTCTTAGCCTCAGCAAGGGCATCCCTGAAGGCCTTGCACGCTCCCGACCCGGGCAGGTGATTGGCATTTTTCTGTCCATCTCCTGCCGAGCACAGTTAGCAGCTTGGGCTTTCTTTACATGTAGAGGCTATGTGGCCCTGCTGACCATATTTCCAGCATGAACTTCTTCTGTCTGGGCCTTGCATGCCGCCTTTTTGTGGCCATATCCCATGACAGCGGAAACACCTTTGGACAACCGCGCGCTCTCGGACACGGCAGATAATCCATCCTACTCGCAGCTTTCCCTTTTCGATAAGAGTCCGGCCTGGCAGTTCGTCGATTTCCACCACGGCCATTCTTTGTTCTCGCGAGTTTACAGCGAGGAGAGAGACGCGAAGTTGGCCATTCATCTTGTCTCCTAATTCCCCGCGTATAGCGTTCTCCACTTCTGGGGCCGTGGTTAGACAGTCCATGCCCAGAACTTCTAGACGTAAACAGCTAGTGAGAATACGGCCGTCTCCAAGCTGGCCAATGGCAGTGCACACATTTTCCTTAAATGCTGAGTGGTCGCCACAGCGCTCCATTTCGATAAGCACGCCGCCTTCGCAGGTTTTCCGAACAGATCGAATTACGGTCTCCGTCTTCTCGGGTTGGAGCTTACCACGTAGCGTTCCCAGCACCTCTGCATAGGTTTTGCCTTCAGCTGGCTTAATGATTAATTTGGCGAGACTCATCTTTTTTCTCACCCTCTTCTTTTTTTGCGGCTGGTCGCCTCGCCCTTATTGACCAAGGGTTCACCTGGCGCTGGCCCTGGCTTGGGCTTTCTAGGGAAAGGGTAGACCCTTTCCGGCGCTGCTCTCGCAGGTAGCTTAATATATTTTTGGGCTCTCCTCGATTTGGGCTATACCCGTTTTTATGTCCATGGACACATTCTTCTGCTTGGAGACAGCACTCTGCTTCTTCTTCAAGACGAGCCGAATCTGGGCCAATTGCTCATCTTCATTTCCTTCGCAAGTTCCCAAGCTTGCGGTGACATGCTTGTCGCTGTTTGCAGCAGCCGGCGTTTGAAGACGACTATCCCGGCTGCCGGGAGTTGCCGTTTGGCAAGGTGTAGCCTTCTGCGCCACGTCGGCGGCTTTCTCCGTGCTCGTGGTGCCGGCATTTCCCTGCAGGGGAGTTTGTGGCGGGGAGCGCACAACTCTACTGCTCTTCCTGAATGCGCTGCATTATTCCTCCATAACATCAACGTTGGTTTCATTTGTTTGTTTTATTTTATTCATTTCGAATCAATTGGGTATCCGTTTCAAGCCGCTATCTCCACACGTAGCACAGTTAAGTGTCCCGAAGTTCCCTTCTCTCAAAGGAGCATTCAAGCTATTAATATATATGTAAGTGCAACAAGTACGAACATAACGGTTGTTTTTCAATAATATAAAAATGGAGGGTTCAAGAACTATACGGAACCTATTTTTATGTTGTTATCGACCATAGCAACAACCTACACTAGGTTTTGTTTCGGGTGTATTTAATGACTTTTTTTGTAGCACCGTGTAATAGATTGGCGCTTACCCTATGTTAGTGTTTGGCCGAGCTTCTCCTCCGATTTGTTGCGTGCGCCTTAATGTTGTCACACAAAGGGGAGGGCCCTGCAGCTTTACGCCGACTCCGAACGGCGATTGTATTTTTATGAGGAGCTGTTTTCTATGGCAGAGTGGGAGGATTGCCATTGCCTGTCAAGGGGCGACTGCTTTAGAAAAAAACTTTTTTTGTTTTATTTTTTTCCGCAAGCTTAGCTCGAATCTAGGCCCTGTAGAACGGAATAGCGTACTGCTAACCACAACACCAACGGCCGCTGAAACATACATACATATGTACAAAAACACGAAAATAACAACGGCAGACGAAAAAGAAATTTACAATACGACTGCTATTTTTCTCCCAATGCTATGCAGTGCTCTCTTTTTGTTTTTGTGCATGAATTTGTGTATTTTTTGGCATTAAGTGTATTGCTCGCACCGCAACCACCATGAACTTAGCGAAACCACCACCGCTATCCACTATTGCCGTCATAACCAGCAAGAGCAGCAGCAGCATTAACACCATTACCGCAAAACATTTAGGATATTTATGAAATTTTTGCAGCACGATTAATGCCAGTTGCATAGCGTGCATGCAAAGTGTACGGAAAGGACGAAAATCAGGATTTTGAATACCACAAATCGGCGGCGGGCTTATCCTTGTCGTTAGTAGAAAACTGTGATGCTGTAGTTTTTGTTTGTGTTTTCGCTTGAGCTGCTGCTTGCGGTGATTGCTACAATAGCTGATTCTCTGGCCTATGTGTCATGTTGTTATAACTCGGTGGCGTCGGTGTTGTCATCATTTGGTCCAGTATTGATATTAGTGAAGTGTTTTCTCGTTCCATTAAAAAATTTAAAAGTGTTAACGAAAGTAAAGGAAATCGAATATTGCTGAAAGTGGGAAGGTGTAAGTGTTGAATACAGATAAATTAAAGAAAATTTCAATAGAAATATATTGAATGCATTTTCTTAATTTTGTTTATAACAATACATACGTACATACATATATCTACTGACCACAGTAGTACCTACTAAAATGTGAGCATAGATTGAATAAAAAATATGTACATTTACATATGTGTATAAAAGCGTAATACTTATAGAATCTGAGAATTGTGCAATTTATTGCTACATACACATATATACATATGCACAAATATAAATGTGTGCATAAATATTAACAAGACCAACTGAAGCGTATTGGCGCGACACCTGTCGGAAACTTTCCATAATCGCTGCTGTTTCAGCTATTGGCCACTTGGGGTGCTTAAAACGAAGAAGTGAGTTCTTTCAGAATTGTCAGGGTTGTTATTCGGCATAAAAGGGTTGCACAAGCAGGGTTGTTTTGCCAATGTCTAAATGCTTACGATTGAATAAGTTACGTGAATGAGTACTAATATACAAAATATTCATATGTACATAAAAAACTAATCTTTTAAATTGAAGCATAGGTGTTCAAAATATGGCCACAGTTACGGCAATGAACAAAATGAATAAATGGTTTGGAATGAATAAATTTTATGTAACTTATCCATTGTTGTAAAAGATTTCTCTTTAGCTTCAGTAAACCTTGTTTATTTATTGCGTTCAAATAATTAGAATCGAAATTTAAAATGATATCGTTTATAAATTATATTTATTATTTTTATTTTTAATAATTTTCATTTAAAATATAGTTCAATCTGTAACAGAAACAACAATAATAACAGTTTCAAAGATGGCAAAAATTGCAAAAAAATAATCAAACCTCAAACAATTTTGATGACAAAAAAAATTAATCTAACTTCCAAAAAAATGTTGATGAAAATTTTTTAAATTTTGTTTTTTTTGCAAGCGTTGAAACTTTTATTATTATGGTTTCTGTTACAGATTGAATTATATATTAAATGAAAATTTTTCAAAAATAAACATAATTTGCACACAGTATAATTTTGAATTTCGTTTCTAATTTGTTGAACGCAGGTGCATATATGTATTCTCACTTCAGTGGCTTCCCAGCCAGCAAAATATCCGGAAACGTATCCGAAAATGGAAACAATTTCGAAGTATTTTGGAACGAATTTCCGTCATCCCTTGACAAATTTCGTTTGATGAAACCGGTTTTGGAAATGTGCTTTTTTGTTCGTATTTACACGTTTCCTTGAACTGCTTTTTTGTAGCAGGTACGTGTTCTTGGTATTGAGGTACCCAACAGGTACCTAAATGTGTCTTCGTGTTGCGGGCGGATAGAAATCCTTAATTTTTGCCGTACGTGTATTTACCTCTGTGTCTATCTGCAAAGCATTGTTGTTACGGTTATTCTTATATAGTAGCTTGAGTGGATCGAATATTACGTCCCATGCGGTGTTTACCTGCTCATTTATTATTTTTTCGCTGAAGGTCTTCCGTTTATATATTTCCATGTTTTCTAATTCGTTCAGCCTTTCAAAGATTTGTTTACGGAAAACTTGAATAACTGGGCCTAAACTATTCCGATTTAGAGTTATGAGGTACCAGTGGAAAGGTATATTCCCACTCTTTTTATTAGCGTACAAACAAAATTCATTCACGTCCCATTTTTTCCCCCCAAATACCAACATATCTTAGTTCAACTTGCAACGACGTTCGTTCATCTTACCTTTTTCTTTCATCCTTTGAATGAGTTTATTAGAAAATGAAATAAAAAGGGTGGGAAATGCCTTGCCAATGATACCTCACTAGTCTAAATCGGAATAGTTAAGGTTCAGTTATTAAATTTTTTCTTATACCAATCTTTGAAAAAACAGCATCAAAAATCTCATTATTACGATTCCGTAGAATTTTTTTTTTATATTTTTGTGCAAATTTTTTAAGCTTAAACCGTCTTGCTGATTTGACTCAGCACATATTTCTTGCAAGTATTCAGTGCCGTTAAAGCGCACTCGCTGAAACCGTATGTAGGGCCACGAGTTTCGATACGATAAGATACCATATCGATATTTTTGCCATTCGATACCGATACTTAATCGATAGTTTTCAAACGATATTTTTTGGAATCGGGTGCCAGAACCCAGTATCGGATCGAATCGTAAATGTACATTACAAAGTTAATGTGATTAATAATATAAAATGAAAAATTTAAAAACTATTTTTTAGTAATACTTGAAATATTTAAGGTTAATTTTTGATGTTCAAAAATTTAAAAATCTGTTCTGATTTTTTATATCAGCCGAAGAATTTGACGTGACGTTACATGACGTTACGCTACTTAAATTTCCATTGAAATATTTTTTTGTTAATATTGTTTTTAAACTAATTTTTAGCGCTTTACTTTGATTTCAGCGCTACGTAGCGGTTTCATTTTTTGCAAATCTATGTCATACTATGACTTTCCGCTATAAAAGACCATATGTCTATACTTTGGAATATACTATATGTAAAGCAATATGGATATAGTTGGGCTATAAAGAGCACAAATACATATGTACTAACTTAGGTTGGAATATGGCAGGATTTCAACCCGCGCTTTCGGTGATGCCTCTTAACCAGAGGTCGAAAATATCCCTCTCCACTTTGAAGGTGTCCCAAAATAACCGTCACTATTTAAGAGAAAAAATAACCCACAAAACAGAACAGGTGGTTTATTTTTTGTAGATATTTGCTCCTCTCATTGGGAAAGGGATATTTGCATATATTTTTTCCGTTGCTTTTGGACATAGACACTTATCGCTGGAAGAGGAAAAATAAGTGTTGGAGCGCGGTTACCCACGAACGCCCTTATATTAGTAAAATTTTTAAATTTACCTTGATCTTAATTTTTGCATTTATCCTTACGCTTCTTTGTTTTTGTTTTTATTTTTACCTTTGCCTTTATCCTTTTATTTACCAAGAAAATAAAATAACTTATTTTCGGTGTATCATATTATGAATGTGCACGCTCACTTCTTTGTCATAAATGTTCGCAAATGTATGTGTACGTATATGTCGTGTAAAGATATGCCTAACGCTTTGCTTCCACTTATGTACGACCACTTATATTTTTCAGTCTTACAATAACCCACAAATTAAGACACTTAAAAA